ACAACAGCACTGTACACATGGCGGCAGAGGGAATGACGTTTGCAACTCCTGGCTTCCCTCTCTATCCTGGAAAAGGCCGATGTAACTGGAATATATCCGTACCCGAAGGGAATTTAATAAAACTGACGTTTCTGTCGTTATCAACGCGTTGTACTAAGAGTTATGTGGAGATTTTTGATACGACAAATTCCACAAGGATCCCCCTCGGAAAATTCTGCGATGTAACTTCTGGTGACTTTGAAGTATACTCGCGAGGAAGCAGTCTACTTGTTACGTATGTAAATCTCCTGAATACCTCAGCTTCCGCAGGGTTTTTGGCGACATACGAAACCGTTAAGGCAATCCCTGCTAAATACGCTTGTGGTAAATTAGACATTTATGGCATTCCAACCAAATTAGGAGACAGTTTTGGTGAGTTTGCTAGTCACCAGTTCCCTCGTTCTTACTCCAATGATGTCAAATGCTCTTGGATTATTCAAGTTCCAGTTGGATTTCTCGTGAATTTGACTTTTCATACGTTTGAGCTTCAAGAATCCCCAGGCTGTTCTGCAGACCACGTCGAGATCAAACAAGGGAAATCAGTTCGGTCAGTTACTGAGTTACTTGGAAGATTTTGCGGTGCATCAGTACCCAGAGTTATTCAGTCCAACCGTTCTGTAGTCAGAGTGGACTTTGTGGCGGACAGCTCAGGAAGATACCCAGGATTCCATGCAAGCTTTAAAGCAGTTTCTGATCGTAAGTAGGGTACCTTTTTGATCAGGCGTCCAAATTAATTCAGCTTTGCTTTAATATTACTTTACTTTGTGATTGGTCTGAAAATTTCATGCAAACCAAAACAAATCGTAACTTGGTCACTCGCGAATCAAACGTATGCAGATTGATGTAAAGGCTTATGAACAAACACAAAGGTCAAACGTGGGGCATGCGCAAGGAGATCTATTTTGCCCGCCCGCGCTCCCATTTCCCGCGAAAAATTTCAAAGGAAAACATATGAAGGAACCGCTGTCTCGCAAAAAGCGAAATAAAATTTGAAACTCATAGAAATCTGTAAATGGAAGCAAAAGTAAAGAAAAGGAAAACTCAAGACTTTTCGAACACAAAGCTGATTCAAGTAAGATACCCTGTTGATTCACTACTCTGTTTTGAGCTTTACCAAAAACGTTGTATGCTTAAAACACCGTGACTTACTGGCTTGAGTGGTGTGTGGTGTTACTCGTGTTAGACCTGGTCATTGCGTTCGCACATGTGCAGACGTTCGACCGCTGTGTTCTAGGATCAAGAGAAAATAACCAAAATGATTAAAGTTCTCTTTTATCAATTCAGCCGCCATGGGCCCATGTAAAACTCAAGGAATAAATAACGTCATCCCTCTTAAAGGGAAAACTGGAAGATTATTTTCCCCGCTGTATCCGGAGACATTTCCTAACAACATGACGTGCACGTGGATCATAGCAGTTACCGAGGGCCATTTTGTCAGGTTGAGAATAACCTCTTTTTTCCTGGCACATGTTTGTAAGCAGACGACTTTGGAAATTCGAGATGGCCAGAAATCCTCCAATGACTTACTTGGGAATTTTTGCGGGAGCTCCTTTGAAAGATCGGTATTCTCCAGCGGTCGTCATCTCTGGATTCGGTTCCATTCTGACAAAGATGAATTGTTGTACGGGACGGGATTCAATGCTTTCTTCGAGATGGTCGGCCAATGTAAGTTTTTTTTTTATATTGTTGTTGTAATTGAATGAGAGGTAACCATGGTAAGAGAAAATGAATAAGCCACTGTCCATCCCCAAGATCGAAAGAAAACGTATCCGAATCGCGATTTCAACTCTTTTAAGGGTACACGGAATAATCCAAGTTTCTAAAGGTAACGTGCGCTTCAGAAACCGGGAAAAATTTTGCTATCTCCCCCACAGAAAAGTTTATGCAAAATCATGCCCCCCAACAGCTTTTTGAGATTCCTTACAGCGAACTTACGCTGAGAAAATTGTCTTCAAATTTACTTAGTTTTGTTACTGTGGTTGCCGCCATTCTCAATCTTGGTTAACAATCTGGCCACTGCCTTACGACGTTAAAATTCTAAGAACTATAAAAAACGCAGGCTGGACACAATTGATTTTTCTTTTTAGCGACAACCACAGTTGAAGCTGTTTGTCAACTTCGCATTGTAGATTTGAAGGTGTTAACTTATTTTTTGACTGAAGGCATTTTTACTGAAAACATCTTTCACTTTAAAAAGTCGAATTTACATAATTCTATGTCTTCATCTCGTTTTCTTGTAGTACCAGCTCCGTTTTCATGCACAGCGAAGGACTTAAACATCAAATTGAAGTCTGAGACAGGAACTCTGGCCAGTTACAACTACCCTCTGCCGTCTGACGACTCTGTAGAATGCATCTGGTCTATCAGTGTAGACACTAATTCCAAAATTATATTGTCTTTTGAGTTTTTCAATGTGTCCCGGACCAGTGACTGTTCTGAGGATTATGTAGAAGTGCGAGATGGAATGTTCAGCACCAGCGACCTTGTTGGAAAGTACTGTGGAGCAGAGAAACCCTCGAAGATAACCTCGGATTCTTGGAACTTGCGTGTGGCTTTTAAATCGAGTGGCAAGTTGAAATATCCTGGGTTCAAAGCCACCTACAAAATAAAAAAGGGTAGGTGAATATCCTGAGATCAATTTGCAATAGGAAAGGCAGGAAAGATATTGAATGTGTGTGCACGGGTAGCTTTGCACGTGCATCACGATTTTTAGCTCGTTGTGTGTCATCAGCATCAGTTAGTGCTACGTAATGTGCCGCTGGGAAGAAGCTTTCTTTTGGCGTGGGAGCGTGTGGTTTATTGTCACGTGCCTGTGCGGGCATTTGCTTGTTTTGTGCGTGTTGCGTGAAATAATGATTGCATGAGCCAATGCGTTTTGCCATCTTACGGCGAACAAGTCTGTAATTTACGTTCATCGACAAAGCAGACTTATGGTGCAACCTTTCAAAGCTCATAGGATGCTTTGGTGACGTAAATTGCTTTCACGCTCCTTTGCTGTTCTAGCTAACCATTTTTCTGCTTTTTCCTATTTCCTGTCAGATCAAACCCTTAAAATTCTTAAGATCGTCGGGATTTGTGTTGGAGCACTGTCTTTGCTGTGTACTATAGTTGCCGGTTCTTGCCGTTGTTGCAATAGGAGGCATAACCAATCGCAACCCGAAAACGTTTTAGCTATGCAAGGCACAGTCAACGCTGGAACTGATGGGGAAGGTATCAGGAACCAAACAGGCAGTTCATGAAAACCTGCACAGTGATCTTTATAACTCAAAGAGCTATCAAGCCACCTTAAAATAAACAACCCTAGCTTGTCTTACTGATCTGCTCTCTCGATTATGAGAGTTAAAACTGTTACCTGCTCTTTGCCAAATTTCAGAGCTACGAGGGAAAATGTTCATGACCTTATCGATGATCATAGTAACTACCGGCTTGCACTGAAATTGCGCAGGTTTGACATATTCAGAATCAATCGGGGAGAACTGGGTCGAGTTATCAGGGAGCCTCGACTTCCCAAACTAGATCCAGTTCCCTGGCTCTCGTTCGAACCGAAACCCGAACAGATGAAGTAAATTCTTCATAGCTATATTTCAGAATTAACACTTTAGAGAACGTTCAAACTTGAGTTTAATCTCAATTGAGGCCAGTCATTGAGGTCAATCATTGAATCAACGAATTTAACTTAATGAATTTGTTTCCGATATTAATATACCAACTGCCTTATGTTATTATATGATTATTTATTTCATTAACAACAAGGATTTCCGGGGCGATTCTTTTAACATATTAAAGGTGAAACACTGGAGCATTTTTAATTAAGTCAAAAGTATTACGGGATAGCTTTGGTTTTACTCTACATTGCTCTGTGACTGGTGGCGAAAACTGGCAGAACGTTATAAACCAATCAGATACAAAAGTAAAAAGACTCTTGGCTTGGTTACACGCGTTTTCCCGCGCTTCACGCAGTTTGCGTGTTCATTCTTAGGTTCCTCATTGGCTCCTTGTGATATTTTTCTTTGTTCTGATTGGCTATTGAGATAAGTTTGATTTTAGTTTTCGACCAGCCTGAACCAGAGTGTCTCGATGGGGTGAAACGATAACCTTAAAAGGCTTAAAAATTTAGCCGTTAGGCATAAAAATTGACAATTTGACAGATAGTCGTGAAAAAGTTGACCGTAAATAAAACTTCTGATGACAACAATGGAATGATATTAGCCATTAGCCGTAAAATGGCCAAAATTTTAACCGTTGGCCGACACCCGTACCCCATTGAGAACCTCGTTCCAGGCGTTCAATCAGTAAAACGAAGCACGGTAGTTGAAAACGAGGGAGGCTTGGGTCGGGTCGCGTTCTTTTCCTGACCCAAACCTCTTGCTTTTTTACCCCTTCGCTACTATAGCTACTATTTCGCTGCGTTTTATTAACTTAACAGGTTGAACAGGCTAGTTTTCGACACTCAATCAAAGAGCACTCTCATCTGTTAATTTGCATCAATGAAAAATGCTAAATACTCATCTTATTCTCAGATTCATTACATCTTCAGTAAATGGATGTGGGAGAAGTAACTTTTTCCATAACGTTGACACTGTGACACTGTAGTGCCGCAATGGCGCGCTTTTCTGTCGAAGTATTATATTTTCCATCACTTGTGACCAAACGTAAGGTTATACATAGTGGACCTGTATCAATCGGTACTGTATTGAGCGGTCACCCTGTATTAAGCGGTCGGTTTTAAAAGCCACGAAATTTTTTCCATATAAATACTGTAATATTCACCTCTATTCTGTGGAATCTGTATTTTGCGGTCAACCTGTGACTAGCGGTCACCCTGTCGTTCCCCATAGTGACTGCTTAATCCACTGTACATCGAACCGTGGCAAGTTTTTGGAAACAAAATCTACTTCGAAATACCGCGAGGGCTTGCGAAAACAGCACAAAATCAAACAGACCTACAATGAAGGCAAGTTCTCGATTAAAAAAATTGTCTAAACTCGTTAAAGTCGGCGATAAGGTGTTCTGCAACAAAACTTGTATTACATGGAACATGGCAGGGCAAACTGTGGCTACAGATCTAAAATTTATAGCTCTTTGTGAGTGGTTGATTAAAAATTATTTGAACTTTAGCAAGAAGAAACCTCCAAACTTATTGTGGTAATATTAATTTGCACACAGAATCATTAAAACTGGACGCTGTAGCCACTCGCACACACGATAATCGTAGAAGCTATATCAGAGTGTGCGCGTGTCAATCGCGTGTGTCACGCTGATTTGTTACCCTTTTGAGTGGTTGTTGCTATAGATACTTTATATCGGAAAGTTGTCTTAACCCTTTGGCTGCATTGCGTGACCTCGCTTCGAAAATCATGTGATTCTTCTGTTTACTGATGAGGTCATATCTAGCATACCAGTCTGTATCTTAGCAACATCTACTGATTCCCGGGTGTCGTCGATGCCGTGGACGCTGTATTGGATTCCACTATATTTTCTTTCTTTGGCATGTTTAGTGCAAGAAGTATAAAGCCTGGAAAAAATTTACAGACCGATGCAGATGTTACGTATGAACCGATATGCGCACTGTGTCAAAAGAATCCTGACTTGGTAATACTAGGCACAGGGACAGTTTATTTTAATATATTTGTCAAAATTTGTAGAAAGAACATAATAAATTGCGGGTTGCAATTTACATCAAAATACAGCACTTAAGCTCAGCATTAAGCTGGCTAGAACAAAGGAAAGGCTCGTCCTTTTTCTCAAAGTAGTACATACTGCAACAAACGTCCGCTCACACATCAATATATATGACATCCATAAATGATTGGGATAGCGACACGTCTAAGTTGGCGAGTTAATCGTCTTAGCCTAAGTAACTTTGTTTCTTTTATAAATGATATCCCTTAATTATGATTGGCATTTGATTGCGAGAAATGATTTGAGCCGCATATATGTTGTGTTTTAACCAGTTTTGGTATCATCGGAGACTCTCAGTGGGAGATAGTACCGGTGCGCTAAATTGAACTACGAAATTACACTATACACCTAAGCTGAAAACGGATAGGTCTGCAAATTAGAAACCGTCACTGAAAGAAGTAAGTTTTGATCGATGTGATTATGCTAACTTATAGCACCTTCTCTGGCTTCAAGGTAACGAAAGAACAGGATTCTATTCAGTTCGAATCAACCTTATTTCGAATTTCACCCGCTAGTATAATCAAGCTGTACAATTACGATTAGGACCAAGGTAAAACTCAATTGTCAAGAGCAATATATATGATTGAAATTCATCATACGATTTGTGGTGATCGTTCGAGTTTGCCTGTTCCCGACTGAAACAAACTTAACGTATGTTGTTTCTAATGTCGTGACCCACTGCATCGCGTGACCCTGCTTTCGATATCACGTGACCTCTCTGTAAAAACCACGCAAATCTATTGTTTACCTATGATTTCAGATACAACATCAGTCGCTTCTCCGTAAGAAATTGGCTCGCCTTCGAGCTGTTTTAGGCTGCTGGGATGATGTTTTTATTCCTTGGTAAGTATTGTATATTTTAATCCTATAGCCAGTCAAGATAAACACTAATATTTAGATCAGTTTGACTTGCATGCGAGGTCAAATGATTCTTTAAAAACATACGGAACCTTTAGCCTTTTGACAGTTTGTTCCATCTGAATGAAATACCGTTCAGAAGGAGAATGGAGATTTGTAACCCAATTCAAGGATTTTGGCTTTGGTTTACGAGAGCAAAGCAAATTCATTCTTTATGTTAGCCGATGATACAAGACGTTTCACGATCTTGTGTTCCATTTGCCGTCAGTTGTTTATCTACTCATATGAGAGAGAGATACCGCAGTGGAAAAGGTGCAGTTTTTCGGCAGCATCATTATCTAGAAAATCTTCAGAGCATGTGCTTTCCTGTTCTGAGGACATCTAAGTGTTTTTCATGTATTTAAGTAATAGATGCAGTCAGTATGTGTTCGTTTTTCCAAGTCAGTTATAAATAATGTTTATCCAGTGAAAAAGCTTAAAAGGCACGCAGCGGAATATACTTTTTTTAAAGAAACTTTGAAGAGGAATCTTGGATTTTAAATTTCATTCAAAAGTTGTGGGCAAATGATAGAGAACGGGTAGCTTGAGAAACCCTCGCGATTCGCGTGACTAGATCGCAGCGATGGGACAACTGTACTGTAACACTTTACAATTTACAATTTACACTTTGCGTTACCTTTTGTACTATACAAGCAATTAATAAGAGGGATCGATACAAAATTTTTTAGACAAAGAGCTGCAAAAATTTAAGCTGTTTGTCCCTGGCAAGCGAAATATCTTGATTTGACCTTTATGAGAAGAGGTTTCAACTTCGATCTAGAATAATGATAACACGGTTTCTTTTTGCAGGTTTGGCTTTGCTACTTAAATCACTAACGGCGGAAGGTGAAATTAAATTTACTGCTTCTTGATGTGTTTAAGCTTAAATGTTGAGAGAGGAGGAAAAATAAAAATGTCTAGGGTGGTTATATGCTCTAGTCTATGGCTTTCGGAGCCACTGTGACACGAAAAGCAAGCAAGCCCCCGAAGACATGTTTAAGTCACCTTCGCAACTGTTCTTCGGGTTGTAACGCAACGCTTCCCCGTGCTAATTATATTGGGAGCAAAATTGCGTGACATCCCAAAGAATGACTGCGAAGGAGACTAGTTAGAGACTAGCAGCAGAGCAAAGTAAACTGTTGCATCGTTAGCTAAACCCTCACAGCGTTGACGCTCGTTTCGCAGCAACTGTTAGAGCCGGCTCGCCGGATCCTTTGGGTTCGCAAGGTCCTGAATCTCTTAGTCTGATCTATGCAAATTTGGATGCATTTTGCAATCATACCCTGGTTTAGGCACTGAAAATCCAACCTTGATGACTGTTTTGAAATGCCACGACTCAATCCTCATTTCTTTCTTTGTTGATTCAGACCGAAACCTTCAAAAGCAATTCTCCTCGAGATTTTGGCTCCTCGAGTATACTCAGTACATTTATTTCTAAGAGTACTAAATTATGCGAGACTCGTTGTGGCGCTAAATTCATCCAGCTCATTTGCTTAAATTTTTACAGCGTGTTCTTTAAACACCACTCTGAATGCTTCTTTGTCACCTGTGGAAAATAACTTCTCTAGTCCCAACTGGCCACAGGGATACCAAGTGAACACGACGTGTGGATGGTACATCACGGCGTCCAAGAATCATATCGTGGTGCTTCGCCTTACATACGCGTTGAACACGGACACAGTAAAGGTTTACGATGTGGACGGTGCTGAACTCAGTCTTATCAACAGTTTTACTGGGGGAGGCCAGGGATCTAGACAAACAACCACAGTGTATTCCAAGTTTCATGGATTGTACATCTTGCTCGACAGTGACAATAAAACAAGTAAAAAAGAGGAAGGAATATTTGCATCCTACACTGCCATTTCTCCAGGTAGGTGCAGGGCAAGATTGTAGGGCGTTTCATCGATTCCAAAACTGGCGGGAAACAAACACGTACCCGCGGCGCAAGCGCATGCCAGCGGTTACTCTCAACAAACAAATATTTTTATGGAACATGCGCAGACAAGATGCCCCTCTGCTGTACGTTTGATGTTCAGAGGCATTTGCAGCCCTCTGGAAAATTTTTGACCGATGTGGCTTGGGCACGCCTTTCATCTCTTTTATGCTGCGGAGATTGCCAAGGTTGCGAACATCCTCTTCCCCAGTGCTCATCGTTTTTCTTTGCCGTTGCGAAAAACGATGGGCTCTTAGACGAAACTAGGTCGTAAGAAGACAGAATTCTCTGATCTGTGCTGTCAGAATTCTTGACCTCTCAGGCAGTCAATTTTCTTTTAATATTCCATAATTACATACTCTTTGGGAGTCGTGCTTAAAGGATAGTTATTCCAGTAAATGTGGCACTGATTTATAGATTATCGAATGCATTAATCGATTTATCAACCGAATTTAATCGATCATTGAAAAGTATTCAATTGATTTCAATGGTCATCGGTCAAACCCAATCGATATTAATCGAAAGTAGCTGATAACAGTTCCAAAAAAGCTTGTGGAACTGATAACGAAAAGACAAATCCAAAATTATGATGTCATGTGACTGTGTCAAAATGATTACGACTACGGTCACACGGATATTTGCCAAATGTTTGTGACGTAAATATTTGTATTTTGTAAATGTTAAACTTTCTAATACAAAGAATAAGTGGTATTCTCTCTCTAGTAACTTCTTTTAAGAACAGGAGTTTCACCCGACTTCGAAATAACTAAAAGCACAGTAATTTCGTTCCAGTTATGATGAAGGGGACCCACCCTGTAAGGAGTGCTTTCTTTCTAGTGCACCCCTCCCACCCTCCCACCCCCCCCCCCCTCGTTGAGGCCCAGAAGGTTTGGAACAATTGCATCATTTAAAATATTTCTAACTTATTTTTTTATATATGCAGCTCTCCACTGTTCATCAGGAAACTCCCTGGACGAGAATCACAACATCGTGTTGAAAGATCCCTCGGGGGTTTTAGAGACTCCTGGGAACCCCAATCGTTTGTGTTACTGGAAGATAATTGCTCCTAAAGGAAGAATTCTGCGGGTTGAGGTTTTATCAATTCAGCTTTCTATGTTGGAGTGCGTTGAAATTGTCTTTAAATTGAATAAGCGAAATCCTCCGAGTGCGAAGCTATGTGAACAATCATATCCTTCGTTCGTTCTTTACTCGTTGACAAACGAGCTTGGCATAAAGTACCAACACTATGGCATACCAACTAGTTATGGCTTCAGAGCAAACTACACAACCATACTTCCAGGTTAGCACAATTATTTGTTACGTCACGCAACACTGCTTTCGAGTGTTGCGCTCTTGCTCGCGTATTTGGTCGCGAGTCAGGGAAACTGGGTCGAGGAAACCCACTCGCGACGGTATAATTTCAGATCGAAATGGATAGCAAAAAAAGAGATAAAAAATTCACTCGTAGTTTGCCTCTTTTCGTATCGCCATTGTTCTAATTTCTCTCAGGAATATTCTTGACTAAGCTTGAGGGAAAGAAAAGGGCAGCTTCGGTTTGATGCAAAAGTTGACTTGACGAGTAAAAAGGTCTCCTGACCGACTCCTCCCTCGATTTACTTTTAGGCCTTAACTTCAAGAAAAAGACCGAGTTTCCTGGATCAACCTGCTCTACCAATGGAAACGGGTGTGGGATAAATGAGTCTCCACATTTTGTTTGATTGCTTTAGTTTTCAGTATTTTTTACACGTTGATATGCTATTGTTTACTTTTTTGGGGGGAGGGGGGGTGGGGTGAGAGGAGGCAGAGAGAACGTTACTCATCTACTTCTATCTAACCCTCCTAGATTCAACTGGCTTTTGTATACCGGGCAAAAACAGTACAATCTACATGAAGGGCGAAGGAATGGCCATTGCAAGTCCGGAATCATACGGGGACCGTAAAAATGATAGCTGGTGTAACTGGAATATATCCGTACCCCTTGGGAACTTCATAAAGCTGACATTTTTGTCATTTACTGGAGTCTGTCTCATCGAAAACAAGGTCAAGGTTTATGACATGACAAATTCCACAAAAATTCTTCTCGGGGAATTCTGCGGGTTCAAAAAGAGTAACAGCGAGGTTTTCTCCAGAGGGAACAATTTGGTGATCACCCTTCCAATTTTATCACAAGAACCATATGTCGGATTTTTGGCCACATACCAATCAGTCCAAGCCGTACCTGCATCATACGCTTGCAATTTTGTTAAGTACATGAAGGGTGATGTAACAGAATTAAACGGTACTAATGGTGAATTCGCTAGTTACCAGTATCCGCTGCCCTACTCCAACGACGTCCGCTGTTCCTGGAAGATAGAAGTCCCGGTTGGTTTTATTGTAAATGTGACTTTTCATGTATTTGATTTACAAGAATCTCCCAACTGTAAGTCAGACTTTGTTGAGATCAAACAGGGATTGTTTCATTCGGTGGGACGATTTTGTGGTTTTATGGCATCCGAGGTGATTCAGGTGAAGAACTGCGTGGTTTACGTGGATTTTGTTACAGACAGCTCTGAAAGATACCCAGGATTCCATGCAAGCTACACAGCAGTCCCCGATCGTAAGTGGTTCATAATACATTTAAAGAAAAAGTAATGAGCAAAATCGATTGAATGTTGAAAGCAATCCAGTATTTTATTAGTTTTACGCTAACTCATTCTTGATTGGTCCAGCAAAATTGCTCTATCCTATAAACCAATCAGATTCAAACAAAAACAACTCACTTCTTAGTCACGCGCGTTTTTCCGCGCTTCCTGAAGTTTTTTGGTTTTTATTTTGACTTCTCATTGGCTCCTTGTGATATGCCTCTTTATCTGCCCGGCCTTTGGGGTTGCAGATTTATGATACTCAACTACAAAGAGCTCTAAGTTTAGTTTGTCCATGATTTCCATTCAACTATTTTCACTTACCTCATATACAGACTGTTCAATGTGTAAGAGGGAGATTCCTTTTTTTTCTATCACAGCGGCCATGGGACCCTGTAAAACTCAAGGAATAGGAAACGTTATTCCCCTGACTGGAAAAGCTGGAAGACTATTTTCGCCCCTATATCCAGAGAAATTTCCACAAGATATGGAGTGTACTTGGATTATAACAGTTCCGGAAGGACGATTCGTGAGGTTGAGAATAACATCCTTTGATTTAGGAAATGAGTGTAAAAACACTCTCGAGATTCGTGATGGCCAGAACTCATTGAGTCCATTGCTGGGGAATTTCTGCTCTGTATCCTTTGATCCCTCAGTGTTTTCCAGTGGTCGCTATCTTTGGGTTCGATTTCAGTCGGAAAAACGGGCAGATAAACCTTCATATGCCACTGGATTCAACGCCTTCTACGAAATAGTCAGCCAGTGTACGTATTCTTTTTTTTTTTTAATCATGTTTTTTAGATTTTTTAACTAAACGGTAATTTTTATCGCGTTATGAAAAAAAACATACAGGAAATCAGGGTATGCGGGAAACCCAGGCGGCCGGATCTATCACGTGTGTGTGTGTTGGGGGGGAGGAGAAGGGGAGAGGGGAATGAAGGTGTTCTGAGCTTATTCCCATATCTAGTTTGAACCAAATTTTTTTCCGGAGGGGGGGGAGGATAGCATTCTGAGAATGCATATAAAGTTCTCCGAGACCCTTCTGGCGGTCACGTGGGTTAAACACTCTATGTAGAGCGCGTAAAGGAGAGTGCAAGGACTGGATTAGTGTTGGATTCTTAATCAATTAACTGGAATAATTGATGATAATTAAATGTATTCCAGTGCCAGCATCGTTCTCCTGCACCGCGCAAAACTCAAATCACGGCATTGAGTTGAAGTCAGAAACTGGACTCCTGGCCAGCTACAATTACCCTTTGCCTGTTGACGATAGTGTTGTATGCACCTGGTATATCTTCGTAAACACTGATTTAAGGATCAGGCTATCATTTGACTTCTTCAATCTGAGTCAAGCGAATGACTGTTCGGAAGACTACGTAAAGGTACTGGATGGGAATTCCACACACAGTAACCAATTAGGAAGGTACTGTGGAGAAGAAAAACCCCCCACGATAACCTCGACTACTTCAAACTTATACGTGATTTTTCGGTCCAGTAGAAATGCAAAATATCCTGGATTCAAGGCCAGCTACAAAACAGAGGACTCGAGTAAGTAAATTTGTGCGAGGATTGCTCAGCGGTAATCTCTTACCCAGATCTTACCGTGTAACTGAAATGTACAGCCACTTGGCCGTGGAAGGTCTGGGTACGAGACTAGCTAAGGGTGCCTAAACTAATAGTGCCGGTTATTTACACGAGGTCTGGCCCAAACCGCGATTTTACGAAAGCAATGGGCCTCGGAGATTCTTCATGAGAGGATTGGTTTGAATATCCTTCCACTGTAAGCTTTTGGCCCTCTTGACACTGTTGAAAAATATAAATGTTCCGGCCCATAGTGTTTAGGACGTCTTTTAAGTGGTATTTATGAGGATTTAGTGAAGTTCGAGCCAAGTCAAGATTTGCTAATAAATGTTCCTGCATATCAACTTCCTCGTACCTTGGGTCGCTCTTCTTTGCACTTTCTTGATCGAGAGAAGGTTTGAAAAAAAATATAACAAACCTGATTGTTGTGAGCGTGCCGGAACGTGTGACTGATTAAGTTAGTCGTGGTGCTGTGGAAACGAATACGTTTTGCTCAAGAGTATTCATGCGTTTTATTGGATAACAAGATATTTGTTAAGGTTCTTGTCGAATTACGAGGACATTAAGTTTAGAGTAATTCGTGCAGCATAAGAACTAGCAAAATTTGAAAATTATTTTATTTATGTTGCAGAGACTATAGGGAGATGCGAAATTCAAGGAAAAGATAACAATATTCCCTTGACTGGCACTAAAGGAAGACTATTTACGTCGCTATATCCACAGACAGTTCCAACAGACATGAAGTGTACTTGGATTATAACGGTACCAGAAGGACGCTTTGTTTGGTTAAGGATAGTGTCTTTTTTCCTGAAAAGTGATTGTGCTAAGACTACCCTAGAAATTTGTGACGGTCAGAGTTCTTCCAGTGAATTACTTAAGACTTTCTGTGGAAGTTCGTTTGAGTCCTCGGTGTTTTCCAGTGGTCGCTACCTCTGGGTTCGTTTTCAATCCGCAAAAGATGACTCCCTGAAAGGAACTGGATTTGATGCTTCCTTTGAGATGATCAGCCAAAGTAAGTGTTCTTTTGTTAGGTGTGCTCACATTTAGAGCAGCTTTCGATTAATTTTTGAAAGTAAACCAAGATTGCTTGGGTTTTGCTTTACTTCGCTATGAGAGTCCCAAAAACTTGCGCCTCGTTCTCAACCGATCAGATTCAAAAGTGAAACCAATCATGACTCGCGTTTTCCCGCGCTTAAGCAGTTTCTTTGTTTTTATTTTGCGTTATCATTGGTTCCTTGAAGTATTCTTCTAAACCAATCAGATTCAATGGCGTCTCGAACAATTTACTTGTTTTGAATTTGTGTTCTCATTAGTTCCATATAATAATAATATAATATTGTCTAATCCTCTGAAGGCGGTTGTTATTGCTTTGAATATTTTTCAATCTCTTTTATTTTAGCACCAGCTCCCTTTTCCTGCACCGCGCACGACCAAAAGTTCTTGTTAACGTCCAAGACTGGAACATTGGCCAGTTATAACTACCCTCTACCATGTGACGACTCTGTCGAGTGCATCTGGCACGTGAACGTCAATTCAAATTCCAAAATTAAGCTGACCTTCCAATTATTCAATCTGTCCCAAGCGAAGAATTGTACTGAGGACTATGTAGAGGTGCGAGATGGACCATCCAACACAAGCGACCTCATAGGGAGGTATTGCGGACCAGCAAAACCCTCGGCGGTAACTGCGGGTGGCTGGCACTTGCACGTGGCTTTTAAATCGAGTGGAAAGACGAAATATCCTGGATTCAAGGCCAGCTACGAAACGACAAAAATAAGTAAGTAGGAAGTTTGATTGGGAGATGGGAACAACATGCAAGCGTTGACGTGTTCTTGAGTGTGCACGTTCGTGGGAACGTGCATGTTCCGTTAATTGTCGATGGGCGCGCATAAGTTATTAGATTGCATGTGGGGTGATGCGAACACAGTGCACCCGCGCGCCAATTTCCCGTGCAAAACGTTAATTAAAGGAAACATTAAAAACAACCGGTGTCTCGCATAACGAACAAAAGAAAATTGAAACGTTCCCAAAAATCTGTAAAAGAACTCAAAAGTAGGGAAAGAGAAAAGTCGAGACTTTTCGAACACAGAGCTTATTCAAATACGGGTATCCTGCCGATATATCATTCTGTTTTGAGATTTACTGATAGATTTATACGTCTTTAATACACCGTGACTCACTAACTTGTGTGCAATTGTCTCATCGACCATTTCCTTTTTATTACTTTTCGTTTCGTTTCAGAATCGTCGCTGAGTAGTGCAAAGATCGTTGCGATTTGTCTTGGGGTGTTCGTTTTCCTGTGTATCGCAATTGGATGTTCTCTAACTTTTTACAAGAAAAGACGAAACAAAGCTTGGCCCTCCCTCGTCGTGGAATATTCTGACAACTCCGGCTGTGTCATGGAGAACCTAAGGAAATAAAACCCACTGGCCTTGGACATTATAATTTATCTTCTTTTAGCAGTTATTCCTAGTGGAGTCATCGGAAATAACACAAGTTCTGAGAAAAATTCTCGTGCATTCCTCCCGTTTCAAATAACTACAGATACTTAACCAGTTGTAAATATGTAAAATACCAAACTGAACGATTTTACTTACGTACTGTTAATTTCCTTGCCTTGTTCAATGTTTATTGGCGTAGCACCACAACTAATGTTACTGTGGTAACAAACCTGACAAATCCGATTCCAGGAAACGTTTAAAAGTAATCCCAGAGACAGCCTTGTTTATCCTGGTGTCTTTTTCAAGTCCTCAGCAATGAATGGCTTCATTGAATTTACCCTGTTACCCTCCAGAGTATTAAGCATCCAAGATCTTATAAAAGTATCACCCTTTAATCAAACAGTGTAAAGGTCACGAACTAGAGAAGTTCTTGATTGTTCAACAAATTCTCCTTATCAGCCAGCGCCATAGGAAATAAATGGAGAACAGTATAGAGACTATGCAAACTGATCTAGGGTGTTAAAGGTCGAGTTGGCATCATTTTTCAGTTTCCTTTAAAACTATTGGTTAATTTTGTTTAGTAGATGTTTGTATTAGTTTTGGTCACCAGAACCTGGGTTACACCACAATTTAAAGTAACATTTACTACTTCAAGAGATGAGTCATTCTTTCATCACTTTATTTTAACAGTTACAATATTACGGAGCATCCCAGAAAATTTAACTTATGTCACATCTGAATCCAAAAGAATTTTAGTCAAATAAAAAGTAGTCATCATTTGAAAAATAAAATTACGTCAGGAATTATTTTGTTTTGATTTCATTCGTATGTTTTTACGTTGTCAACGCTGGTAGCAAAAGTTGCTGCTGCTATCTTCCACCAACTGTAGAATGAAGTGGGAGATAATGTACCAGAATTAAAGTCACTACAGGATTTCCAGTCAAAATTTCATTCAATTCTGAGTCGCAAACAGTGGTTGGAAGGTGTCTGCGAACAAAGCTAGTCTTGTGAAAGAAATTGTTGAGGAAAGAGTAAAAATAATTAACCAGTTAAAAATTAGTTTTTCACTGCATACTCATGGTGCCCTCCGTTTTTGTTGTCTACTGACCGTGTGCACAACAACAATTTTATCGAATTCCATTCGCAAACTGTGGCTAAATTTCAAATTCGAATTAGGAGAAACAGATGGCGAATGATTAGCACGCTTGTGTGACGAAAAGGGAGCAACTTTGATTGTTACGAACATGACAAAAACTTAACATATTTCACAACTTATCATAAATTTTCCGAAATTTGAAACTGAATCATTCAACTAATGATGAAACAATTGCAAATTTCCAAACAAAAATTCATAAAGGATACCGCGTTAGTCTTTGTACAAAAGAAAAAGGTGGAATGTATAAACTATTTTTTTGGCGTCTGTTTTCAATTTCATAAACATAACAAATTAATTCTATATCATTAATATCATTATTCACTTTGCATTCGATACTGCTTTTATATCAAACTATGTAACAGGCATTTTTATGAACTGATCAAGGTTGTCCTTCTGCGCGCTCAAGATCTACTTCTCTCGTCAAGGAACCCTTCCTTTCCAGAAAGACAGCCCCACAAGCTATAAATTGTGAGACGGACTAAAAAAAGTGCTCGCGAAGAAGGCCTGCTAGATCACAAAATTGAAAATACAAGCAAAATAATAACTACTACAGCTCCGGCTGTTTCCTGTTTGATGTTCGCCTAAACTGAGATACTGTTAATTTTTAATCTTTTTTTCTGGCTAACTTAACTCGTAAGTCGGAGTTGTTTTCGCTATTACTTTCCGAAAAGATATGTTTACATCTTGTTTTGCTTAGTACCGACGAGATTCAATCAGTCCTGATTAAAACATTCAAAAAATATTCATTAATTTTACTACCCCCACGTTAAATTAATCCCACAAATATGAAACACAACGAAATAAGTCCATGGTGCATAAGAATGTATGGAGTCAGTAGACAGGAATATTCACTACACTTCCCTTACTAACGAAGAAATGGTACTAGGACAGACAGTGTACTATCGCTGTTAGAGCGCGAAATTTCCACCGTGCGTCATAAACCAAAGACCAAGTAATTTCAATGACTAATCAAGGCAGAGGAATATGTCTAAAGGAACCAATCTAAATTCAAAGTAACAAGAAGTAAACTGTCTAAAGGGAGGGAGAACGCAGGTGGCTGAGGCGCTATCGTTTTCAGTTTCGCCTCTGATTGGTCGAGTGGATGACGCGGGTTCTCTAAACCAATCGCGGGGTGAGCCAAAGCAAAACTAAACCAAAACAATCCTAGACGTTTTACCCCAGTCTACGCGCGGACGTTTGTTGCGACTATTTTTCCCTGACAATTGATGTGTTGAAACTAGTTTTGATACGCGTCTGTGAAATACTTTGAACACCAACTACCTGCACGAAAACAAAGCGATAGAACTCTCTCTGACCATTGCCTAAGCTCACGCAAACAGGGCTAATTTTTCGCGTCTACCATTCTTCTTATTTGACACAACGAAACTAACGCCCAGTTTTCGAGACAATTTACCCCTTACTTACCCCACCCCCACAAAAGAGAGAGATTGACTTTACTAAAGCACACCAACAAGTTACTATTGTTACGGAACTATTGTGACAAAAATGAAGTGGGTTTGGACCGGACCGTAAGAAGCAAAACCACATGCTGCAAGACTTGTTTCTCATCCCCGTTTTTCCTGGTTCAAGGTAAACTCACTACGTCGAGTAAACCCCGTCGATTGATTTCTTACGGTCAGTGAAAACCCACACAGAGTCATGCAAATCAAGTATGATTTCTGCTAGGACAGAGCGGAGTTAGTTTTTCCGAAATACACCTATGTGAGCCATTCTATCGTCCGTTAGAAAAAAAATGCTGTGAAAACTTATCTACTAACGACAAGGTCTTCACACTTATCGCTTAGAGGGGGGCTTCCATTGCCACACCCACGCTTTCCTTCCATAAACTCGTCGGAATCAGCTTCGTCGTCCGTTAGATCATTACCACTGCCGATGTGCTCGAAACTGTCCGTGTTCTCTTCGTTAGAACTCGCGTTCGTCTCGGTAGAATTCGTCGGCTTGATGGTACTGCCTTCAGATGAATCGCCTGCGATCGTTAACGCTTGATCTTCCGCAGGATCGGCGGTTTCTACCCCTGGAGCCAAATCGCCGTTGGAAAGCACCTGCGCTTTCAGTTTTTCAAAGTTTCTAGTCAAGCTTTCGTTCTCCGCTCGCAGGGATCTGATGATGCCTTTGAGTTCACCCTGATTAATCTGCATCGTGTTAATTGTGCTCTCGAGGCTATGAACTGTATTCCGCGCACAAGTGAGTTGTTCAGACAGTATTTGAATCTGTTTTGTTTTGATGGTGAGTTCTGCCTCCAAGGATTCCACTCTTTCACTTTCAATGTCCTCAAATGACGCAACGCTTAGGTCCTCCTCTTTGAGAACACAGTACTCAACCTAACGGGAAATTAACCAAACAAATCTCTTATTAAGACGGGGGTTACGCTAGAAACCTCAGCTTCACAATCTTTTAGGGTGGCCAATTCACTCTAACAACTATTGATGAAACCAATTTACAACAATTCAATGACGTAAATAAAGCAAATAAAAAGAAACGTTGCTTTTAGGCGAGCAGGCATCTATGGAAGGCAACCCAAAGAAGCCAGTGATTGCCAAACACGTTCTCCTTGTCAGTGCCGTAGGAAATTTATCAGGAGCAGTATGGAGAATCTAAATATTGATGTGCTCCTCTCCACTCAAAAGTATGAATGGGTTTC